CGCCTCGATCCTTTTATTTTTATTTTTTTTTCCATTTTCCACTGAAAAAGCCCCCAGTTTCCACAGCAGGATCTGCCGGTTCGAAGCCCAGCCTGCAGTGCTCGCAGGAAAGTGAGAACACGCTTTGCCTCCTGTGCGCAGCGGAGTCGCTCAGGGTGCGGGGTGATGCCACCAGCAGCCTGGTCCCAGCAGGGAGGAGGAACACTTGCTGGGAGCCCCAGTGCCGGGGCTGGGCAGGAGGAAGGTGCAGCAGGCTGGTGTGCTCCAGTCCTGGCAGGGTGTTCAAGAGCAGGGCAGGGACTGAAGCAGAAGTAGAGGCAGATGGGAGATGATCAGCTGCTCTAACTACTGAATCAGTAAAAGCTGCTGTCTACCAGTAAGGACAGGATGGAGAACTAATATTACTCTTGCACTTGGGTTGCCTTTTCCTACTTCCCCTGAAACCATTCACATTGTATGAATTTTGCTTATTTCTGATAATTAGTGCAGCAAAACTTATTTGATTCACAAATGTATTGGAAAGTTAGGTGTGCTGAGCTGCTCCTGCTGTCAGTTACAGGCAGGTGATGCAATGCAGAGAAGATGAGCTATCTGCTCACTTTTAAGTCTAACCTTCACTATTTCCATGTAGGATGGTGAGGAGCTGCTGTACCATGCAGCTAGGAGTGCCTTTGCACACCCTGCATGAGTGCCATCCTGAATGGAGAGCCGTTTGGGCACAATGGATACAGAGAAGGTCACAATTAAGTATTAATGTGGTTTGTTAAGTGGTTTTCACCCCTGTGGAAGCTGGCACCCCAGTCACACAAGGTGTGCTGGTTGCTGTAGGTCACATTCCCTTCACAGACCTCTCACACCTGTGACTTGAAGGAGAATGTCCTTGTGGACTTGAACGATTTCTTTTTGAGTTGAGGAGACAAAAGGGTCTTTTTTTTTTTGAGTCCACTGTGGCTTGTTCTTCCTTTGGGGAAAGCTTGTGGTGTCTCCTCTGAACAGCAGGCTGTTCCAGTAATCCTGCTTCAGCCAGCGGTGCCAGGCACAGCGGAGGAGACTTTACCCCTTTGAGCTCTCAGCTGCTTTTTCCTCAATGGCTTTTTATTGCACCATTGTTTCGGTTTACTCTGGTTTCCTCATTAATAGGCATGTAAAGGCTACAGCAGAAATATGTGGCTGACTGGGAGGAAGCAACTTAGGGGTGCTGTTTCTGGGCTGTACTCTGCCTCTGGGCAAATTAAACCCTTTTTTACGCTGTGCCCTGAAGGACAAAATGTGCTGATGGCAATTACGGAGTAGCCAGGTGCCAAACACAGTTGAGTCGCGTGCAGCCTGCGCAGCTCTCCCTGAGCCGCCTCTCAGCGCGCCGAGCGCTTCCACAGCTATGTCAACAGAGCTCTGGTACGCTGGTGACAGGTCTTCCTCTCCAGTTACCTTCTTGGCTACTAAAGACTTTTCTTTATATGCAGCCTTTCCTCTAATAGGAGCTGACTTTTCTGCAGTCCTTGGTTTGCTATCACTGTAATCTCTAGCTGGCCAGAAATATCTCTGTGGGAGGACAGGTTAAACTTTTCACCCTCTGTATTTCTGGTGATTAAGAGTCTTCAGCCCTTGTGCTCAGGTTTGAGGGGTGAAGAGAAGCAGGAGGTTGCCTGAGGAGCTGTGTGTGAAACAGGAGACTTAGAACTGGCATTAATTTCCCTTTGCTCGTTTGCATTGGCTCCGACTTTGGCGACGTGTGCCGGGTTAGCAGTTCTTGCTTTGTCTTGGCCAATGCAGTGTCTGTTCCCATGGAAATGGGGGTGGAAGTGGCAAGTGTCAGCAGAGAACTTCGCCTGGATCAAGTTCTCCTGTCTGAAGTGCCAGGGGGCAAATGGTGTCCAGTCTTCCCTCCTGCCCCTGCTGTGCTGGGGCATTACTTGGTTGGGAGCTCTGGAGACATGCCTCGGTTTGCATTCGTACAGTAAACCTGACACAAGAAAGTGCCAAGTCCGGTTCAGATCTTTTGAGGGCTGCTCTAGATATAGTGAAATAGTGACTGAGAAGAGGCAAATTTTATGATTTCTGTCATTTTCTCAGATATTGTCATGTTTGTGAACGTTGTGTGGGCCCTTCTCAGGGAGCTGTTCAGATGCCTGCAGACGGTGCCTGTTTCAGCTGGGTGACTGTGAGAACAGCAGCTGATGGAGCTGCTGGTGCTCTTGAGACCCTTGTGTATCTTTCTTTCTTCCTGTGTTCAAGCTAGCAGGTATTGCGTGGCTGTGGTGGGAAGAAAGGATTTTGTGAGATGTTGAGTGCTTTTCACCCTTCTGCACTCCCCAGGTTTTCACTTGAGGAAGATGAGTCTCTATAACCTGGTGCCATCGACTGCTAAATTCAAACCTGTTGAATGAATGAATGGAGTCAGTGCTGTGCTGACTGTTTTGGGTTGGTACTCGGAGTTTGTAATTTGAAAATGTCATAAAAATATTCTAGGTGTTTTTCCTCTTTGAAGTAGGAGTCAATGGCCAAGTCCTTTGGCTCTGTGCCCTGTTTGTGAAACAGACTCTTCTTTCTGAAACGCTGTGAGGGAGTTCACTGTTTCTTAGACGGCAGCAGGTCCAGACCTGTTTTTCTCCAGGACCCAGGTTCTGGGGCTTTGGCTGCTTCTGTTCCAGTAGTGCCTCCTCCTGGTCAGAGCAAGGGGGGAGATGCATCTGAGGGCATGCCACTTAAGAGTTGAGCACTTCAAGAGTATATAAAGTGTCTCTTCGATGTGCCTCAGAAATTTACCCTTCCTCTCACTGTTTTGTGCTTGAAACCCAGCTTCTGACTACGGTATGAAGCTGCCGATCTTGCGGTCCAATGCAGAAGATCAGATTCTGTACCAGACTGAGCGTTACAATGAAGAAACCTTTGGCTATGAAGTTCCCATCAAAGAAGAGGGTGACTACGTGCTGGTCTTGAAGTTTGCAGAGGTCTATTTTGCACAGTCTCAACAGAAGGTAAGCAACAGCTCCTTGCTTGTCTCTTTGATGCGAGTTCCTGGCTAAGACTGTGCATATCCAGGTTGCCTCTGCTGCTTGGCATGCTGGAGAAAGGAGTGAACTAAGGCACTACTAGTTAACTTAGTTCCTTGAGCTCTCACGGGCTCTGAAACTTCGAGCTCTCTTCCACATTCCAGAGACACAGTTGGCCTGGAAAATTGCATTACAAAGTATTCAAACAAGCATGTGTAACCAAACATAACTAGCACTAGAGTTTTACCACCTATTTAGGCTGTACTGGTTGTGAGAAGAAGAGTTTTTGCCTTTTTCCTGAACACTTGTTCCTGACCTGACAGCATGCTTGTGCTGGAGGAAGTATTGCACAGATTGAATCAGGGGAGTGATCTAGGTTAAATAACCTACTCAAAACAATTTTTATAAATGTAATAAGACTTGGTACTGGTTCAAACTGATCCTGAAAGCACAGAGTTAAATTCATTCCTCTTTATTGCTCTTTAGAGAAGAAAAATCCTTGTCTACTTTTGAAATCCCTCATGTACAGATGTGGAAGCAGAAGCACAAGGAACTCAAAGCCCTGTGATAAATGGGGAGAGAAGTGATGTATGTTTTAGTCTGGCTTTTCCCCGACTCCATCAGCTTCCTTAGAGCCCTGCTTCTTAAGCACTGTGCTGCCTTCTTGCCAGAGGAGTATTTCAGGAAGCAGAACTGGTGGGGCTGGCTTTTAGAATGGATACAAAAAGCAGCCTCCGATTAAACTGAAAGGCTGAGGCATCCTTGGTTCCTCTTCTTTCATGTGGTTCTGCTGGGATTCCCCAGGTGCTGAGTGAAGTGTGAGTCATTACAGCCCCGCGGGGGACTTTCACTCTGAATTCACAGATGTGGTTAGCAGTTCAACATTTTACCACCTTCAAACCCTGTGTACTTCACCAGCTTGTTTCCTCTTCTCTGCTCTGCTGCAGGCTGTTAGTTAGAAATGGCTTAACTCCCTAGGGCGTGGTGTGCCACAGCCACCCTGGGGTGGTAAGAGCAGGTCCTCAGCCTGCAGATGAAGAAAATTGTGAAAGAAAAGTATGAATAAGCAAGAATAAAATTGTGCTGTCCTCAGTTCTGAACAGCAGACATAGGGATTATTTTAAAAGTTGAAGGTGGTTTTGGGGGTATTTGAAAGCAATGTTAATCCTTTAGTGTCTTTACTTGGCTGCTTTTGGGCTCCGAATCCTTCCCAAGGGAGTGGAGCAGTTGTGGTGGGACAGTGCATCGCAGTGCTTTTTGGTCCTGGGTGCATAACAAGCAGCGACCTTTCCTGTTCTGTTCTCCTTTCAACTGTCACATGCCTGAATCTGTTGTGACACTGTCTTTTTTTCCACCCTGAAGGTATTTGATGTTCGCTTGAATGGCCACGTGGTGGTGAAGGACTTGGACATTTTTGACAGAGTCGGACACAGCACAGCTCATGATGAGATCATTCCCATGAGTATCAAAAAGGGGAAACTGAGTGTCCAGGGAGAGGTTTCCACATTCACGGGGAAGCTCCACATTGAGTTTGTAAAGGTACTAAGCTTTGCTGGGCAGAGCCCTGATCTTCCTTTTCCCCTTCTTCCCCTCCCATGTGATGCAGCTGTGTGCTAGGGGAGGCGAGGTGATGGTAGGTGGAGGGAATATTTCTTGCCTCAAAGCTGCAGCACTGACTTCCTTCTTTGCTTTCTCCAGGGCTACTATGACAATCCGAAAATCTGTGCCCTATACATCCTGCAAGGAACAGTGGAAGGTAAACACAGTTTTTGAGCCAGATGGCTCTTCCCCCTTGGAGAGCAGCCTGTTGCTTCTCAGACCATGAGATCATAGCTCTTGCTGGCCCACCTCTGCCAAAACTGTTTCTCTCTCAGCAAGTTCCCACAGAGTGCAGTTGCAGAGTGAAATAGGTGTGTGGTGTCCTCCTACTCCTCCAAGTGCACAAAGCTGTGTCATTTTTGGAATGAGAAAAATTTGGTTCAGGACTTCCTGCATATGGGGTAGAGGAGAAGGGAACATGTTTGGTCAGTCTTAGCTTATTGCTACAGCCATAAGCTGTAGATAAATTCTCTCAGGCCTTGGATGTGAGCAACAGCCCTGCAGACAAGTAATTTACAGAGATCTTTTAGCTGGTAGTTACGTGTTTCTTACCTGGAGCTTTGTTTTGCCTCCTCAGCTTGTGGACAAGGCACTGTTTTTTCCCAGGTGTCAGTTCCTCTGGATAGCAGTGGGGAGTGCTAGTAAAGTCCTTGCTGCTCCTTACCCTCTTTGTAAGTCTGTGCTGGGGTTGGAGCCCTGAGTTCCTGAACAGGGAAGGTTTAGGACCTCTCTGACCAAAGCATCAGTTTCCTTTACTGTTGGTCTGGGATTGCCAGGCGTTGCTGAAGGTTTGGTGCATTACCTTGTGGCTGGGTGGCGTGTTGCTGTGTGGGGACCTGCAATTCAGGCTCAAGCCTTAGAGGACTGGATTTGAGTGGGGTTGGACCATGCTGCTCCGATAGATCTGGGGTTGAGGGGTGCAGCAATGTGAGGTAGAACCACTTGAGGAAAAGGTTGTTCCCCTTCCTGTTTGCACCTGTATCTGTGGGTCCTGCAGGCAGCAGGTGCTTGTTCTTGACTAGATCTCAGTGCACAGCTGCTGTATCTGACTGTGTATGCTCTAAGTGTGCTTTTGTGCTGTAACTTCTGTGTGACAGGTAGATGGGGTGGATGTGTGGCTTTTTTTTTTTTGCAGAGTGGGCCTTTAGATGCTCTTGCATCATGGAGGAAAGAAATAGTGGTGTGAGCCTGTGTGAGGGAGGATGCTGCTATTTCCTGGGGTGCTCTGGCTGTAGTGCTGATGTGGTGTCAGGTGCCCTGTTGCCGTGCACGTGCTGGATAGGGGAGAGAGGAATGGATTGACTTAGATCATTTCCCAGATTACATCCTACTTCATTGCAACCTTTTGTCTTGTCCAACAGATGTTCCAAAGCTGCAGCCACACCCAGGTCTGGAGAAAAAAGAGGAAGATGATGATGAAGATGAATATGATGATGGCTCCAGTGTTAAAAAACAGGCAAATAAGAACCGGGTTCAGTCAGGCCCACGCACACCAAACCCCTATGCCTCGGACAACAGCAGCCTCATGTTTCCTATATTGGTGGCCTTTGGTGTCTTCATTCCTACCCTCTTCTGCCTCTGCCGATTGTGAGAGCAAGCCCCACAGAGCATCAGCCAAGGGGCTGGGAGGGAAGGAGTTGGACCAAACACAGTTGCTTTCAATTTCTCCATATTGTTCATAATTTAAGGAAAAAAAAAAGGAAAAAAAAAAAAGAAAAAAAAAAAAAGATGATTCATTTGGAATGAATAGCAGGTACAGGTAAGAGGGAGCTTACCTTCCCCCTGCCAGCAAGCAGCGAGGCCCTCACCTTCCCCTTCGCACCATGTGCAGCCTCCAATCCTCCCTGGGGCATCCACGAGTAAACCAAGTCCTGGCTGTCTGTGTATTGGGCTGTTTTGGAAGCTGATGCTAGCAGTCCTGGGTCATGTCCCACACTGAGAGAAAGCCATGTGCTACAGGATCTCCGCCTTTAATGAGTGGAATATGGTTCTTTAAGCAGGGAAGCAGCTCCTGAAACGAGGCCCGGGTACACATTTTATCCGGGAGCATGGAATTGTTGTGGTGCCGTTGGGTGACAATGACTACACAGGATGGAGCCTGGCTCAGCATCTCCCTGAACGTGTGCAACACGATGTATGGTACTTGCCTGCATAAAGATACCAAGACTCCAGCTAGCTGCTCAGCCTCTGTGGAGATATTCCCCTCCTAAGAGTGCAAGCTGCGCCAGGAGCAGAGGGATTTATCTGGCCTGATTTGCCGCACCAGTTGGGAGAGACTTTCCTAGTTTGACAATTGTAATGTTAGATCCATTGCAGAGGGATTCTGCTGTAGCCTGCAAGAGGCTGACGTTGTTAGCATCTGATCAGATGCACTTGTTTTCTGTATTGATTATGGCTTTTGTTTCCTTTAATATCCTTTTCTTTTCCAAGGTTTAATTTTAAGCCTAGTTCCTTGTTTTGCCCTTTCTAGCAAGTGACCTCTCCTTTGGAAGAAGCTGAGAATCAGGTGATCTAGAGAGGAGGTTCTGGACTAGTTCCTTGGCCTTCCTGACACTTAGCTCCCCTCCCTGCCCTGTGACTGACTGTGAACAACCTATGCTGAGGGACAGAGCAGAGCAACCTGGCAGATGCTCCCTGTGAGCTCTCATTCCCTGTCGTAGAGACCAGGCCTGCCTGCAGGCTGTGAGAAGTGCAGTAGATTTGGTTAGTGTCTTCAGTTAGCTCGGCCTTTTGCGTATCAAGGCACTGTGGTGAAGGGGCAGATGTCCAACATTTCAGTGCCATAGAGGAAGGTGCTTTGTTGCTCTCCAGAGATCTGGAAGTGAGCAGAACACTGGAGACAAGGTCACCCACTTCCCCCAGGGATATTTCTGCAAGAGGCTTCTGTTTCCACATGCAGAGGCTGAGCAGAGCGAAAGCCCTTGCTGTGCCTGCTGATCCAGAGCTGCAGGCCTTGAGGAGCTGCCTTCCCACGGTCTTGGCCTCTGACATGTTGAGCACTTCTGGCTGGTGGGAGGGAGGTGTTCTGTGTGCTGGAGCAGAATCTGGCCCAGGCATGGTTGGCTCCTTGTGGGTCAGCTTTGGTCCTGGTGAGCTCTGGGCTCACAGAACGCTTTACCTCATGCTGTCCCTGTTGTTCTCAGAAGTGCTCTCTCTACCCAGAGCAGCTGCACTGAGAGGTGTCCTCCTTGCTGCTGCTCCTCCCTGGGCCTGACTTTTCTTAGCGGTTCTTGGGTTTCATCCCCTGCAGGAGCTCAGCCTTTCTTTGAGCTGAAAAAGATCAGCAGAATTCCCTAGTTTCTGGAAAAGAAACTTCTGGAGGAGCAGCCTTTCTGCTTTGGTCAGCCCAAGCAGCTGAAGCCTTCACTTCCTCCTAACCCTAAAGCTGTGATACGAGCTGTCAGCTCATGGGCTCCGGAACAGGAGCTGGGGGAGGTGTCAAAGCAGCAGTGGCACTGGACCTTGCCTTTCTGATCACAGATGCCACTGCTACAGGCCTGACCCTAGTGCTGTGTCTGTGAGCTACAAAGGACCTTAATTACCTTCTCTCCAATTGCACAAGAGGTAACGGCCAGTTTGGGAGAAACAGGAGAGTCCCTGCCCCACTGGAAGGAGAAGACAGGCTTTAGGGAGAGCAGACCTTAATAAACTTCAGGATGAGAAGGCAGTAAGCTTGAAGTTGTCTGCTACATTTTCTAGCTGATGTTAAACTCCTTGTGCTTATAAAACTCATAAAATATGAGCTCTGTTTTGTTTGGTGGCAGTGCCTGCAGAGATTCTCCAGCATTTTTGGGATTGCTCTAACTGGAGCACAGGAACATCCAGATCTTATCTGTTTTGAGAAGCATAAACTGTGCTGATTTGTTAAGCAAAGAACCTGAGCTTGAGAGCAGGCTTCTCTGTAAGGAGCTGTTCTCCTCCAGGCCTTTTAGATTGCATTTTATTTGAGCATCCTTAAAGCAAGGAATCACTCAGCTTCTTGTGGCATACTCAGTAGTCTCTGCACCTTGCCTAACATGAGAACAGGGGTGTGCATTTAGGTGTGCAGAAACTGGAGACAAGTCTTCTAGGATAGCTTGTCCCTGCCTCTCCTGGCAGCCAGGGCACCCGTTTGGTGCCATCAGCCGCCCGAAGGCAAAGCTGTGCAGGGTGTGATCTGTCGTGTTCCAGTTGCTCAGCTCAAATGAATTTGTCTTATTTGAATAAGAATAGGGAGGAGGAATAGTTCGTCCTTCGTGGCGGCGATTTAGTTGCTTTGGCTCTGTTTTTATGCATTTTTGTCACTAAAAAGCTGGTGTCTGCATGGTTGGGAGGTTCCTGACCCTGGTATGGTGCTATGAGCAGTTTTCCTTGTTGGTCTGTCCCCTCCTGGTAGGTTTGCCTCAAAAGGAGCCTTCAGAGTGTGTGGGAGCACAGCAGGATGGTAGGGGATAACCAGTCAGCACCTCGCTGGGAATGGCTCGCTCAGGGCTGGCTCCCCTTGTCATCTGTCTGTCACCTGCAAGCCAGGCTGATGACTATAATGAGGTACCTGGTACTGAGCAGGGAAAGAAAGAGCTCAGGTTAGCTGTAGCTTTCCAGCGTGGGTGTTTGAGGGAATATCTGAGATGGTGTTTAACTGAGGCTGGTTAGAGACAAGACTGTTTGTGTTTTGTTGCCTCCCACCAGCAGCAGGCGGCAGATGCAGCTTGTGTCCCTGTGCAGCAGTGTGGGGAGCTGGATCAGAACAGACCCTGGCTTGATTCTTGGAGCAGTTGAGTAGAAAGGGGCAGTTAAGGCAATTTTAATAAAGCTTCCACTTAGTAAAGGGGAGGATGATCAATCGTGTTTTGGGCCTGGATCCAGCCTTGGGGTTGTGGTTCCAAAGCCTGTTTTAATTACTCCCTCATCAACCCCTTCTTTCATATCTTTAAGCCAGGCCATTTTCCCTTCTGTGTGTGTGACTGAAACAGCAGCTCTGGCCCTTTTGAGTATTCCAGGTGGCAGTGAGCAGAAAGCCAAATGAATTCCTGTCTCTTTTTGGTGCCTTTGTCACAGGCTTTGAATAAAAGTCTACTTGAAGAAGCTTCTTTTTTTTTTTAAGGAGCTTGTGAGTTGTTTCTCTTTTTCTCCCAAGGGACAAGCATTCCCTGCCCTTGCGATGAGCTAGGGACTGTCTCACTGTCCCTGGGTGCCAGCTCTGGAGGTCACAGCTGAAGCAGAGAACTGCGAGTGAGTTATCTTTGGTTCCAGCCCTCAAGGTCAATGGGGAAAAAAGACTAGCAGGGGATAGAAGAACTGGAAATGCACCTTCAGGTCTGTACTCCCCCAGAAATATCCCAAAGGCAGGATGGAGAACTTCCAGACAGTCTGGTGCCTGTGTGTCTGTGTAGTTCAGAGCCGAGTGACTCATGGCTGGGTCCTAGTAGTCGTATGATGCTTACAGCTTCTGTGTGCAGAGCGTGGCTTGGGGGTCCTGCCCCCCAAACTCACTCACCAAGGGCTTGCCCTGCACTGTTTGGGTCTGAACAGGTTGCAGAGACCTGTGCTTTGTCCCTTGCTCTTCCTTTATGTTGAAATGAGTTTGCAACAGCCAGGGACATGCCTTGGTATGGGAAGCCTGGGCTGAACAGGCCAGTCTTTGATGGCAAAGAGCAGGAGAAGGGAGAGGACCAGCAGAGCAGCTTCGGGCCTTGATGTGAGACAGATTCTGTGCAGCTGTGAAGTACCAAGTGTTTCAGGCTCTGGTGCTTAAATGTGGGAGAGATCTGTCTGCTTCTTGCACTTAGGTGGCAGAGAGGGAAATATCCTTGCTGAGAATCGAAGGGAAATGGGAGCTGGGCCAGCACTGAGCTCATTTACCTACTGGAGCTTCTGCATCTCCACAACAAATGCCAAAGTCTAATACAATTCAAGGATGCTTTTTTTTAACGTTAGCCTGGTTCTACCAGTCTGTCTTCACTGGCTAGTTCCAAATAGGCTCCAACAAGTATTCTCAATGGCACAAACACACCACCAGGCTGGAGCTGTGAAGGCTGGGAGGTGTGATTACAGGAATAGGCCTCCTGTGCTGCACCCCTGCTTCACACGCTGGCCAGCCTGGCCGGGGCATGTGGGTTTCAACTTGAATCCGAATGGATTTGTCCCAGGAGTGTAGTAGCAACCACATTGGAATAGTGCTGGGCTGGATGGCAGAGGTGAAAGCAGGTCCATGTCTTCCAGCACTCTGGCTTGCTCAGAGTTTATTGCTGTATATTAAATACTATTTTTGGAGATTGGGGGAAGATGTGGGAGGGGGAGGGATGCGGTGGCACTGTCCCTAGGCTGATCAGTGGGATGCTACTGCAGGTTATTGATTGGTTTTGTTGCTTTTTGGTTTCCCCTCCCCCCCCCCCAAAAAAAAGTGCTTTATTTAAAAAAAGAAAAAATAATAAACAAAACAGAAGTGCTTTTCTCCCTCCTAGAAACAGTGCTGGCTGATGAGAAAATGTGAATAATCTTTTGCAAACATCAAAGGTCTCTGCTAAAGAGTTTGTGTGATGGAGATTTCAAAGCAAGGGGCAAAGTACAGCTTGAACCTGTTTAACTGGGGAGAGCGTGAATCTAGGAAACGTGGGATCTCTGCCCTGGAGTTGTTCCCAGTCATGCGCAGCGAGGATGTGCTTGCCTGTACTCCACAGCTGTTCTGTCACCCTGACAGTTGCTGAGCTAGGGTGCTGGAGTGAAGGAGTGTCTGGAAACTTGCTGGCAAGTGGAGTCTTGAATTTTTTGTGGTTTCTACAGGGGCTTTGTGTGTTCAGGGCTTTCCCACTTGAGAATCAGCCAGGTTGGTAAAGCAGCCCTGGAGAGCGTGAGAGCAGAGGCAGGGTTTGTGGTTTGTGCTTTGTGCCAGGAGGCAGTAGCCAGGACTGTGAGATGCTGTGCAGGTGACAGTGATGTTTGAGTCCCATTGTCATAGCAGCTTCTAGCACTGGCAGATGGTCCCACTGCTCCGTAGTGCCTGGCTGTGTAAGCTGGGACGTGTGGAGGTGACCTGTGC